AAAAAACTACTGTTTACAGCTGTAGTGAGCAGAAAAGCTGTGTGGAACTCACACATCCATAATACATCGAACCTTGAGGCAGATGGGTTACAACAGCAAAGACCACATCAGGTTCCACTCCTGTCAGCCAAAAAACAGGAATCTGAGGCTACCGTGGGCACAAACTTACTGAAACTTGACAGCTGCCCAGCTGGGGTTCTTTTGATAGTCAAAAGTTCTTGTTTTTCAGTTACAAGCTGAAGAACCCCATCATTCCTAGATTTAACCTTTTTTTTCCCTAGGTGTGTATGTACCATATGTGTAATTATGGCAGTGTTTCAGCCTTGAGCTCTGCTCAGAAATGCCAGGTTGACAATTACATTACATCCAGTCATGTTCCTGAGTGCCATAATTTATAATGATTATATGGCACACTTGTTTTTTCCACATCTAAAATGCCATGAATAATTCACTGCGTGTTACACTAGCTTGAATGTTGCTGTGTGTCTGGAGGCTTTAGCTTTTCTTTTATTTGGTGAAAACTGTTATTATATTGAAGCCATTCGTTTTACACCGGGCTGTAAGGGACACTCTGAGGATGGAAGTTTTATTCTGTTCATTTGCAAGATTTTATTTCGTATAAATGATAATGTAGAAAAGCCTGAATTGTGTGTAAGTGTGTGTCGGGCTCTTAGCTTAAATACCATTACTGAAAAACAGAGGTCTAGTCTAAGCCATAAGCCTGTCTACTAAAGGTGTAGTCTGATTTGAATGGAAGTTAGATGAAGCTTGTTTAAAATCCTAAAAAGATGCCACCTTCATTGCTCCTGTCAAAACTACAACACCTGAATGCTGATACGAGAGGGGACGCTTTCTGAAATACTAGGCAAGTGTAAGCTGCCCCCTTGTCTTGATTGGTTGAATGTTGGTAGTCCATATCATTTGTTATTTTATTTGTTATTATACCACTTTTATTAAGTGGTATAAAACTGTCCAATTATACTACAAATTCTTGAATCTGATTGGTCAGAAGCTGTTGATTCATTTTGCATAACAGCCGTGGGTTTGTGGATATTCCACAACATTAAATGTACCTATAAACTGATAAAAAAAAAAAGAAGTATAATAAGTATTAATAAGTTCACTAGCTGATGATGTGCTGGAGTAGAAACAAGTTGCACAGCAGTGGGAGTTGAGGCCTGGAGTTTTAAAAAGTCCTTAGCAGAATGGACAGTTGATCACAAGAATATTTGTCTGTGTGACTGTGTGATTGGTTTAATGTACCAAGTGTTTGATTCTGACACACTTAATGTTTTAGCTGTGTCTGTGACTCTTAGACCTCACGGATTTACTGACAGTCACACCTATTTAGTCCTTATTTTTATAGGCAGATTTTCACATTATTTATCATTTAAAACAACTACTCACAGTGGAAATGCTAATACATAATGATTAATATTTGATACTGAATTATTTAAATGTTACAGTTTTGTAGTATTTGAATAACCAGTAGAGAGCAGCATTGTGTTAAAGTACCGCATCACTGAAACGGTCAGTGTCATGTGTAACAAAATTGTATAAAGGTAACCCTGTCTACACAAAACAAAGGTTCAATCTAAAAACCTCGAATCCCACTGCAGGAACCCTTAAAGGTTCGATAAATAACCCTACCGAGCATTTCCATATCAGATCTGGTCACAAGCAGAACCCTTTTAGAATGTTAACGACCTTTTCCTATCCAAAGAAACCTTTTCACAAAAGCATGTATTAACATTTTACTTTATTATGATATTACAATATGTAGTCGTATCAGCTCGTCATACTCTTTTAATCCTCCAAGTTGATTTATTTGATTATAATTATATGATTTATATGATTATATGATGTATACATTTATATGATTATATGATTTATGTTTTTTCATTCTTACCTTAGCTCTAACTGGCATTTGACTAGTAAAATTATTAAATAACTTACTGAATGCCTCTTTCAGCCTACATTTCCTTCAGCAACCCCCCCCCTTTTTTTTTCCTACCCAGGTTGGTTTTGCTAATTCCCACCCATTAGCTAATTCTCCCATATTTCTCAACATCTCTATTATATGCTATTTTTGCTCTCTTGACTCCAGGCCATCGATGGTTGTGGCATTATTGTGATTTTAAACTCGTGATCTCCCAGCGATAGGGTGAACGCTTTCGTGCTGCACCACTTGGGAGCGTGTCAAAGCTTTTACAGGATATAAATATAGAAGCAAAATACAATGGACACAGTGATAATCGTGTCCTGTTGAGTTCAACATAGTCATGGTGTTAAGACGCTTCTTAGGGAAGAAGCAGGCCTGCTAGGACTATGAAAGAGTTACAGCAGTCAGTGGCTGCAACAGAAGATAGTGTTCTTGGATCAACCTTCTCCAAAACATTCCACAAAAAAGGCCTTGGGAAACTGGCAGGGATGATCTATCATTCTCAATCCTTCATCAGAACCATACTCCTGCCTTAAAGGAGCTTGAAAATCTTCAAAAACATCGCGTCTTTTTTTCAGCCAGTCTTCCGTGATAAATGTGGTGCCACAAAGTATATTTATAACTAAACAAGGACAAGATTTAAATTTAAAATAATGTGGAAAATTGCAAATCTGTGTTCAGCATGGCTTGGACCTGTAATATAATACCGTGTCCTTGCAACTTTGGCCTTCGTTTTCAGTTCGAGCTTTTGACAGTGGCTTTGTGACAGTTATGTAAACCATCTATTCTTCAAAATAATGTCAACTGTGTTTAAATAGATTTTTTTTTTTTTTTAATATGCTCCGTTATTTTATTTTTAGACATTTAAAACAGTGAAAGGTGCCACCAAGGATCCACAAAGTCTATATAGGGAAGCTAGGAAACCTAAAAGAGAATCTGTAAAAAAGACTTTGATGGAAACATTCATTTAAATCATAGGTCGCATGAGCATCTTCATCAGTTAGGTGCCAGAGTCATTACTAGGATAAGTGTAGACCCTGTGCGTTCATTCTCCTTCCTCAGCGATGAGGCCCAGTGATCCAAACCATGTGAGCTGTACGATTGAGCAAGTGCCTCCATCGTCGGCCCACCCACAGCCAGCGCCCCGCACAAGGTCAGCATTCCACCACTGTCATGTGGATTGATGTACATCAACAGCACCCCCTACACACACTTTCATAACAACTTACAGAGAAACAACATGTGTTTCCTTCACCCCAGAAAGCCCCCCAACCCACTCAGGCCGTCCTACCCACCCTCACGATCAAAGAGCCTTTGGCAAGGCCAGAGACAGATGGGAAGGCAGACAAAATATTAGCTGGCATGCAATATCATACCGGAGCAGAGCTGAGGCACGGGAAGAGAGGGAAAGCTGCTCGAAGATATTGAATCCTTCAGGAACTTTCTTCAGAAAAGAAATTGGCAATATGTGCACACAAGTTTTTATTCAGAGCTCAGAGAGCAGAGTGTTGCTCAGTAGCCCTTAAAGGCTCTAGGAATTACAGGGGTCCTAGATTATGATGGGTGAACCCGTTTGGTGCAACAGAAAATCTAATGATAAAGGACTACTCGCTTACGCATTTACAGTTGCAATACTGTAGTGTTACTGGAGTTGGTTAAAAAGTGTTGTGTTTTATTAAAAAACACTTGACATCAAAATACAGCTTGATGCGGAAAACAATCCATGATAAAAACGCAACAAACGCTTTAACACAAAAATGAATATTTTCAAAATATGAAACACCAATGATCAGGTTCCAGTATAAATTTTAGACTCTCAGCTCCTATTAGACACTTTTCCCCCTGATGCGGCTCATACTACAGCAATTTGTCACCGCTAATATATTGTATTTATTAAAGAATGACATCATACTTTTTATCCATTTATAGTTACAGTTAATGTTATGGATTGTCCATGAAGCAAGTTAGTTCCTGTTATCACGTTATGGCAGCTATAAACTGGTATTCCCTCACCAGCCTGACTGTTACAAATGCACTGACACTGAAGACTCCTTCCATAAATGCAAAACAAACATCCTTCATAGAAAATTTTACCATATTGATAATTTGCACACTTTTAAAAATCTGCTTATGTGGCGCATGCACCATACAAGTCCCGGTTTTAGTTGTTACTATAGAAATGTTAATGTATTATAATGAGTGCGTTTATATAAACCTGTGATTTTGCCTTACAGCTGAAACAGCTGCTATAATTAAAAAAAAAAAAATTTAATCAACACCTTCTGACCGGTCAGTTTCAAGAATTCAATAGCGCTGTGGTATAAAACAATTTAAAATCTTCTGCTTCTTTGATTTTAAAAAGAAAAGATGAATTCCTTGCACGGGGCTGCAACCTCTTAGCAGCATCTGTAAAACATTTTTATTTATTCATTTGGCAGACAATCTTATTCCAAGTGACTTGCAACTGAAGCAGAATCCAATCCAGGCACAGAGCTGAGCCTGCTTACTGGATCAACTATGGCTCTTTAACAATCCTCACAAATTTCCAGTCATCTAAAATCACGGAGCTGCTACTATATCATGAGTGAGCTTCTATACTGTATAACATGGCTGAGTCACTCTGTGGCTCACATTCTCAGTGGTTCTGCTGGCAGCGAGGTCTGTAGATGTCAGGCTGATTCAGGCCCATCAGAAACAACAGCAGTTGTGTTTGCTTTTCCACAGACAGACGTGCTGATTAATTTTCTATAACAGCAGCTCTGATAGCAAACCACAAGATTATGTTAATGCCATTAGTTAAGTGTTATAGTTTCTGTAACTTACACATGGACTTGTATGGCAGACACTCCATGTAATCTAAGTCTAATAGTAAAGAAATAAAAAAAAAAAAAAAAAAAGTCATTTAACAGATGTAATTGTTGATATTATCAAAGCTTTCTGTAAACGTTATTTATGGCATTTGGCAGACGCCCTTATCCAGAGCAACTTACATTTATCTCATTTATACAACTGAGCAGTTAAAGGTTAAGGGCCTTGCTCAAGGGCCCAAGTGGCAGCATGGTGGTGCTGAGGATTGAACTCATGACCTGCTGAGCAATAGGCCAACAGCTTAACCACTGAGCTACCACTACCCCTGTTATCATTTACACAACATTTATGGAAGGCTCCAGTATGGCGGCCATTGCACTTTATTGTTTCCTAGTAACATGACAATCTGCTTTTTCTCTTTTGGATTTTGCCCCATTTTCACCCCAATTTGGTCACCTGCCAATTCCCATCCACTATCCAGCTCTCCCTTATCATATGCTAACTACCAACCAGGGAGGGTGAAGCCTAACAAATGCTTTCTTCGCTTCTTTTCGAAGTGCTGCTCTTGTTGCATGACGGCTAGTATTACACACTCGGAGGAAAGCTATAATTGCTGCTATAATTGGTAATATGAACTAACTTGTCTCATGGATGTTGCAAATGGATAAAAACCCACTGTAACTGGATAAAAAGAACAAACTGTGGTTCTTGGAATTATTGGAAAATTATCGGTTTTGGCGTAGTAACCCCACTGCGATTTATTCCTTACATATTTAAGTCATTTGTCACGGTTATTTTGAGTCTACTGCTTCATCCACTTTTAGTCCAACCTCTTTCTTTCAGCCATGTATGACCAGACAAAAGCCACAACTATTGATGGAGCTTGAGGTTTTGGCACTGAGGAAGCGCAGCATGGTGTGGCTGTGGAAATGACTCCGAATACCTTAGAGTCACTGTGGGAATGGAGCTATTAACTGGCCTGTGACATGTCTTCCATCTATTTTCTATGGTCAATAACACTATAAAAAACATGACCTGTCAAATTCTTGTCCTACGTCCCTTGGTCCAGTTTACAATACTCTCAAAATGTCTCTTAGTCACAGAATGTCTATATGAAGTATATTTGTTTTGACAGAGCTTTGTGACTCACGATGGTGAGTTTACAGACAGTGTTTCCAGATGTTATGTTCTTTATGCTGCTACACCCTCATATGCTGCTACTTATGATAGTTATGTCTGCTCAGCTTTGCATGTGTATGCTCTCTGGCTTATTCTAATGCTGCTCTTGTTCAGTGTTACGATTTTCCTGTGTATTTATCGTATTTTGTCTTAACTATTTACACTGTCTGTAGTCCAATGTCCTATGTACACCGTATGTACTTTTATATCATAATAAAAGTTTTAAAGTGTAGTCATAGTGTATGTGCTATATCCAGGAAAGAGTCTAGCACTGTTTGATGATTTCCCTGCTCAAACACACCTGATCAACTGGTTGTTACTGGTTAGTTTTACTGGGTGTGTTTGAATAGAGTTTTGAATTCTGACTATCATGACCCTTATAATATATGATTATGTACAATAAGTAACATGTAACATGTGCTTTTATTACTTACAGGCTATAGCAGTAGTTTTCAATTCAGTGATGGTAATGTAGTCGGTGATAATATCTTTTAAGCTGTAAAATATTCACTAAAATGATATTGTTAGTCAAAATTAGTCTAATTATTTTGCAAAAAACAGAGTCATTATTTATTATTTGTACTATGTTGAGTGTTTACTGATGTTGGACATACTGTATACATAATAAATAATTGTAAGATTTGATTGGGCATCTCTTTCCATCATATCAATTATTGTGCTACATTTATAATTTATAAAAATTTATATTTTTAAAAGGTCCCAGAGGGAGAGATTCCTAGGCTTTACGATATGCTCTAGATAAAATTCTAAACAACAATGTATGTTATAGTTTGGGTCCCTGGAGGACTAGTGTTTAGGCCATGGCACTCTCACTGCCGTGGCCCGGGTTCAATTCCAGGCCAGGGAACACGACAGGGCACTCCCAGAGCCAGTCCCAAGCCCGGATAAAACTGGGGAGTGTTGCGTCAGGAAGGGCATCTGGCGTAAAAACTGTGCCAAATCAAATATGCGGACCAATGATTCACTGTGGCGACCCCTAATGGGAGCAGCAGAAAGAAGAACAAGTGTATGTTTAAAAAATTCTCAGTTATTCTGTAAAACTAAAAAACACATCTGATTACCTCATTACTTCATTTATTTATATACAAATATAAAGGTCTGAAGTTCTAGATGGTTTAGTCACCAAGCCTTACTTTGAGCATAAATATTTAGTTTCTGACTTTTTATTTAGCAAATTAGCAGGAACTATTTGGTCATTTAATTGAGCAGTGGAATCAGGAGCCAAACCCATTGCGTACTTAGTAACAACAAGCGAGGGAAACTAGACAGTTCAAAGTATCAGTGTGTGTTACTTTTTTATCCATTCATTCCTCTTCAGCAACCACTCGTGGTTTGTGGTCACGGCAGATCTGAAACCCATCCCGGGAACACCAGGTGGGAGAATTAACCCCTGACGGGACCCCAGACCCTCACACTGCACTATGCACACATCCATTCCCACAGGACCTGGAAGATACACACTCAAACACAGGGGAGGACAAGTGACACTCCACAGAGATAGTAACCCGAGCTCAGGAAGGAACTGGAGACTCTGGAGCAGTGAGGTGGGAATGCTACTGCCTCATGCCCAGGGTTCCTGTGACAGAATAGTATAAAGTGGTCACTGAGGATGGATGATTGCATGCATATATGAATGAATGAAAGGATGGATAGATGGATATTCCTCACAAATCCTTGCAGTGTGATTACAATATTCCAGTGCAGTGCCTCTTGTCCTCTTGGTTTTTGGTGCTTGGCACCTGAGGCACTCCATCATAGTGCCATTATCGGAAGAACTGCCGTCGCTTTGCGGGTAGCTGCGTGGGCTTCGACTTGTAAAGATCTAGGAGCATCTGCTGTATATTTTCCAAGGACATGGATGTGGTGTGAAGAAGTTTAGGAAGCAAATTGCTAGTGACCACAGGAGAGTGTGGATATAATGACACCCAGACACAGCAACCTGAGGCGACCAAATAAAAGTTAGCAACAACCAACACACTGTTTAGGTTCTGTATTCTGTCTGAAGGTGAACTACACTGCCTCTTCACTGTAACCACAAAGCACAAAAAAAGCTGTCAAGAGAGCTGTGAACTGTTTTGCCAGACACTTATTTAAAAGTTTATTGGATAAGGATGGAGCCTAAGTTAATTCAAATCACATGAGAGTGAGCCTCTTGGCTGGGCTACACTTTTATCCGCTTTCAGCAGCTGAGGTGAATGTTTACACCGTGGGAGTTGCGGAATTCAGACCAAGTAGCTTTAGACTAAACTCCGGTATATATTTTCGAAACCGCTTTTATCGTCTATCATGCTGTTTTCATTAACTTCGGCGTGAATGAGATTCGGTGCGTGGGAGTTTTCTGCCTCATATCCGAGAAGTTACACGAAGAGCGAGGTTTTAAAAAGAAAAAAAAAAAAAAAACTACCCTGGAACAACCATCGCCCGTCCTGACTCACTCACTCAAAGCTGAAGTATTTATCTGGAGGCGGGCCGCCATCACTCACTCATTCACTCACTCCCAGCCCAAACCATTCACGTAAACGGGGGCAGCGCTTCGACCAGACCCCCCTTTATCTGTGTAAATATTTGAGAGGGAGTCTCATTGCTCGAAACATCTGTGTGTGAAGGGCTTGAGGTAACTTCTCATCATCATGAACTTGTTTTCGGCGCTCCGCTGTGTGCTGCTCATCTCGCTGTGTGGAAATCTTGCTAAGCACCGAGCTAACGGTGAGTTCAGGACACTTCAGGCTTTTTTTTTTTTTTTTCATCGTCAGGAAAGTTTTGGTCAGGAATAAATGTGAGAGAAGTCAGGGAATTTACCTTCTGTTCACCCAGTGCTGATTTATACCAGACTCAAAAACCGTAAATAATGAAGAACTCGTTGTACTGAGAGATAGACTTACCTGTCAGGTGCAAAAAAAAAGGTTAGTTAGGCTAGGCTAACTCACTTCCACACTTTACTGCCAAATAGTGAACTCTAAAGGTGTTCATTTAACTTGTACAGTGTTTATCTGTGTCCTGAAGATGGTTGTCTTTGTTCTTTTCATAATGCGACTGAAGAATAGCCAACATTATATGAAACAACTAACCAATTAAGCATGTTTTTTTTTTGTTTCTTTTTTTAAATAAAGGCTATAGTTTTTATAAGGTTGTATTTGCTGTGTACTTGTGAGGCAACCCCTGTAATCATAACCTCACTGCATAAGAAGTGAGGTTCTGAGCAAGTAAGAACACAGTTTTCTAGATTTCTAGTTTTCTAATATATCTAATATTTTCTACAAAATATTTAATAATCCATTACGAATACAAACGCATTCTTTGACTTGGATATGTGTTGCAGGTTAGTCCATCATTTTGCATCCTGTATGAGTCTTACATCTGTTTTACAAGTTATCGACACACATTTAAAGAGGACAACTCTCCAAAATATTTGGCGAACTCAGTAGAAAATAGTTGGAAAAGACGTTTGCCGAGACCCTCCAGCTCTCCAGACCTGATTTGAAGAAAGCAGGGTTATTATCAGATCAGATCATTATCAGAATGGACAAAGACTGGCAAAGCAATCACGGGGTTATTACAGATATGGCAGGAGGTATTATTACAAGTGAAAGGATCTGCTCAGAGGATACAAAAGATGTTGGCAGTATTTATGAAGGCAAACTTGTATGGGTATACAAGTTATTCGAGAATATTTATATTATATTCATAATGGGAAATGCACACGTTTGAACTGATAGCATCTTGTTTTCTCTATTACTATCCCAACACAGATGATTTGACCATTTTTGTTACTTGTGATAATGAAGGAACATCTGTCTTACATTTTGTTGTAAGGGTACGCAAACTTTTCCACTCATTCAGACGAGTACTGAGGACTGTGTTATATCGTAATATTGGCAATGATGAATTAACTACATATTTGGAAATGAGCAGTGCATAGCAGCATGGAATGATAGTATAAATCTCTCTCTCTCTCTCTCTCTCTCTCTCTCTCTCTCTGTCCTTGTGCGTGCGTACAGCGGGCATGTGCTGGCTGCAGCAGGGCCAAGAGCAGCGCTGTGACATGGTGCTGATGCGCGGTGTGAGCAGGGAGGAGTGCTGCGCCGGAGGCCGTTTAGACACGGCCTGGTCCAACACCAGCCTTC